ACGTTTGAACAATGTATCACTGTTCAATGAGTTGTGCAGCCATGTCTCCACTGGGGTAAAATCAATTTGAAAAATGCCAATGGTTATATGCTGAGTTTTATTTGACAGTCCCACATGTCTTACGGGAAGTGTTTTTATTAACTCTGGCTTTTAATTGTAATGGCAAAGAGGTGACCATTGTTATCAATTTCCTCCTTAGAAACTTATTCCAGTAGAAAGAAAGAGGTAAGTGAAGGATGTTTACTAAAAATTGGTGGGTATCTCCCAGGCACCAGGCATTATACTAAGCACTTTCACATTATCTCTTCACATTATCTCTTTCAGTTCTCACAATAATAACACAATACTTGGGTTATATTCACCATTTTGCAGATGAGTGGTGAGAGACTCAGAAAGATTTAGTAACTTAATATCACATAGAAATGAAGTGTCATAGCCATGTCCTACCCCATCCCTATTCTGCTAAACTCTGTGGAACCACTGTTCTAAACGTGAAATAAGACTAAGCCTTTAACGATGTGCAGGAGTAATAGACTCTTAGTGTATGATTAACAAATAGTCATTGACTTCTATGTACTCGGAAATACACTGTGGATAGCGCTAGAGGATTATTGAGTGGTTAACTTATAGAAACATCTCCATTGGGCCTTAGATAAGCCCTCTTGAGCACTGGTATACAAACTGGAGATGCATACAATTTTTTCCTATTTATTTCCTATTTGATCACAAACAGCCACCTTTGGAAAAATCATTCACTCCAAACCCCCAAGTGCACTTGTGCTAGTATAACTAGATTACATGAACCTACTCACTGGCCTGCCTATCTTGTTGATTATCTCAGTACAAAGCCAATGCTCTTCATAGACTAGGTTTTATGTTCCTGTCAAAAAAAACGTGGTAAAACTTAAATTGCTGCCTACATAACTCAAGTTGCCATTTTCACTGGGAGGTAACCTGATTTTGAGGCTCAAAAAAGGCAGACTCTGGAGTCAGTCTGCCTGGGTTCTAACCCTGCTCCCCCACTCACAGCCACGTGACCTTCATTAGGTTACTTAACTCCAGAGCACATCAGTCCCTCGTATATAAGGTGGGGGAAAAAAACAGTACCACCTAATAGGTCAGGAGTCCCTGAGATAGTATCGTGCAAACCACTGAGAACAGTAGCAGGCTTGCTCCCATTTCTTCCTGAACAGGTGTTGTCTTCAGTGGCATAGCTAAGCCTTCATTGGAGATTTGCAGTATGTGTGCTCTTGCTTCTCCACAAATTTCTGAAGCTAGCCATGGATATTCCAGCAAATGTCCCCATGACTGAATGTCCCTGCATAGTGTGCTTGTGGGACTGACTACCTAATGCAGGCAGTTGGAAGGAGGAAGGCAGGAAAGAAGGAATCAAAGAATTATCCCAAACAACAAGCTCTCTGTGCAGGCTCTACACTATCCATTCCCTAACCTTTCAAAAGTAGGGCTTTATTTTCATTTCTATGAAGTTTTTAAATCATCAAAAAGGAGGGGAAGCCAATTCCAAAACATTTGAGTGGAGATGGGGAGGACTCCATTGGCTAAATTTTCATTTTATGCTGAAAAGCTTACTACCCCCTGCTGCCTGAAAAGTCCCATACAGTGAGCTGAGCCTATCGTCTTTGGTAATGCCTGTTCTAGAGAAGACCACATGGTGACATTAAAAGAGGCCTGGCTCTGAGGACGGGAAAGAAAAAACTAATCCTTATTGAGCATTGACTATTTACTATATACAATTGCTTTCAATTGCCCTGAGGAAAATGATATTCAGAGACTTTAGTAACTTGCAGTGGTGACTTTCTCTATCAGTAGAAGTATCAGAATTTGAACTCAAGACTTTAGTGATTTGCAATTAATTATTACTAAGGGGGCATTTAATCTGCTGTGAACAGATACTGAGTTCTTTCTATGTGCCAGGAACCATGGTAAATGCTGAATTTATAGATATAGAAGAGGACAAGATAAATGAGTCATGGGAACTAGATTCCCATCAGGAAACTAATAGAGGTACATGCATTCCATAAATAGAACTTATAAATCTCCTAGGGGCAAAACCCAAGGGTTAAGCAAGATAATCAAGGGTTTGGGGAAGACTTGTAATTGGATAAAAGTCATACTGGTGGATGAGACACATGTGCTGGTTCCTTTCTGCACCTGCAAGTAGCTTATAGTCTCCTGGAGGTGCTTTAGCTTCTGCCATGACAAGAAAACACTGCAAAAAAAGCTGAGTATTCACAGAGTTGACAGCCTCCCTTTCCTGTAACCTTAATTTAAACTTTTTAAGGATTAATAAAAAGTTATTTGTTGATTTGCCTCCATTTCCAGTTTATAAAATTCTGAAGAACAGAGATTGTGTTTTATTGTTTGAATCTTCTCCAATACACCGAACAGCATTTTGCACGACAGAGCTCCATAAATGTCTCTTACACTAAATTGAATTGATCAGAAATGTCCAGTGGTTCTATCTCTAAAATGCAATGTTTTTCCCCCATTAGAAACATTTGCCAGTGACCAGATATACATATACTCCCTTACATTGCTCAGCATCCTTGCAGTTAGACAGGGCCATGTAACTGGTTCTGGGCAATGGTATCTAAACAGTTGTAATGTATGTCCCTCTGGGACAAAATATTTATGGACTAGCAGGCAAAACTTTAGCTCCTATCTTTCCTTACCATGGTGACTAGCAGTGTCCCAGAGGGTGGAGCCTTTATCATCCTAGATCCCTGAATGCCTACGTGGAACACAGACCCTCCCCCGTAATGCATGTTGAAATGATACAGCAAAAACATAAAATAAACTTTTATATGCTCAGCCATTGAGATTTTAGGGTTAGTTTGTTATTGCAGGATAGCATAGTCCATACAGAGTAATATAGCCCCTGATTGCTAAAATCAATGAGGTACTGTGGATAGGGCTACCTCTGTTACTCTCAGGGGAAACCAATTCCTGGGCTGAATCATCAGAGTCAGAGAAAATAAGGAGTACCTATTTATGGAAAACCGACTAAGTAAAATGGAGTCATGTTTGGCTTAGAAATGGACTAAAGGTTTTCAAACAGTATTAATGGAAACCGATGGGTGTTACAGAAGTGCCTCAGGAGCCACTGGTGAGGCTGGGATAGAGCAGAGAACACACCCTGTCCCCAACCCTAAGCAGAAAATTTTCACTTTTTCCTGTTTTACACTAGGCTTCCATAGAAGACTTTGTCAAAACTTTTGCTTTTTTTAATAATTTTTTAAAGATTGGAAATCACTGATAAACCATCAGCACATTCACAGAGGAGAAAAATTAGTATAATCAGAAAGACTCTACTGATCAGAAACAAGGGATTGAGACCAAAAATAAATTATAGTCTCCTTTTCCCCAATTAATTTTCACCTGATTTTCAGAAGATACTTTTTATTCTTCCTTTTTAATTTATCTTCTGCTACTTTCAGAATTGAGTTCCTTTTTCTCTCTAGTAGTTATTTTTAAAATTTGGCAACCATCTGCCCCTTAGTGAGTATCTTAGTCATTGTAATTGATATCTTTCTCCAGTCTACGGTAGCTAAGGCCACCAAGCTACTGTTATTGAGATGGGACACACAAGACTCTCAAGAGTGTCTCTAGAAAAGCAGTGCTCTGCTAGTGTGTGGAGCAACCAGAACATTCTCACCTTCCAAATGGACTGCTCTAGTTTTCCCATTTGGATACAAATGAGACGCATAACACATCCTAAAAGAATTACTTATGGGCAGTGTGATCTACCGGAAAAAGCTCTTGTCTTGGGTTCTTGCTTTGGTATCTAAATGAGATCTGTCTAGATTAGATCTCATCATCTCTGAATTTTCTTTTCTCCATTTGAAAAAGTAAGATGGGGGGTGAGGGTGCGAAGGTGGGAGTGGAAAAATAGTGATACTTATCCTATCCATCCCTAGTGTAGCTGTGAGGATCAAATAAAATCAAAAATAAGGAAATTTTTAAAGAAGCATTGCATAAGTATGAGATGAAAGCATTGTATGTATAGATTTAAAGATCCCTTCAGAAATGGGTTTATACAAAGAAAATCTGGTAGGCTGCTAGCAACTAGTTTCTTGAACACAGTACAAAGAATTACATAGCCCCTACGGTGTCTAGAAATGCTGGCCACATCAAGTGCACAATGGGGCTTAAGAAAACAGACTGGGGCTGATACATACTGGTCCTGCTTTCCTTGGGGGGAAAATATAAATCAAAGGGGGACACTTCACTCTTTAATCACAAGTTATTTCCTCTTCAGTGCTGTTAAGAGTTCCTTGAAGTAACCCCTTTCACAGAGGCTGAGAAAAGTAGTGTAGACAAACCTGATAAGCTTTTTATCGCCCTATTGTCTAATTCCCTGAAAACTAGAGGAAATAGGGAAAAGGGAGCCAGACCACTGCCTCAGGTTTTTTTCTTAATATTCAAAGAACAGACTAAAATCTGCTCCTTTTTGGCTCTCTATTACTGTGACTCAGGAAAACCAGAAAGGATTGTGTGGAGTGTGGGCTCATGTACACACACACACACACACACACAAACACAGAACAAGGACACCTTATCATTTAGTCTTTCTTTTTAACTCTTAGTTGCCATACTACCACATTAATACTCTCATCTTTGAATTACCTAATTTGTTCCCCCTCTCAATTTTGGCAAATATTAAAAATGTCCTTCAAAACTCAGGAAATGAATTTCTGTAAGCCTGGTACTCAGGCCAGCCAACACCTAGGGAAGCAAATCACAGTTTCTGAGTGTGCATGGGAATCCCAAAATAGAGGCCTGACTTGCCAGGCAGCACCTGATCTTTGCACCCTGCAAGAAAGAGGGCCATTGAAACATTTAAGCCCCCTGACACTGGTTGTGGTTTCTTTTTATCTGAAAAGTGTCCTTGTTCTAAGGACAAGGACTCTTGCAGAGGTCCCCCGACTTCACACAGTCCCCCTTTCTTGTCCCTTATCTAGTAGTTCTGACTCACTTACCCAGGGGAATTTTTTCCAGCAGGTAGAGATAACTCTGAAAGAAGTCACTGCGAATGGCTTTGTGAAGGATAAAGGACATGCTGTGTCGACAGAGTTCAGCATCGGTCTTCTGCCAGTGGGATCTAAAGGCAAAATGGGCTCCCAGGTGGGCCATGGTGAAGGGGTATGATAATTATTCCTACAGAGAAAGGAAGCTTGCCTGGCTGTTTCTTTCAATTAGCCTTCTCTTCCTACACTAACTTGAGACTGTCATTTTAAACCAGCCCCTGTCCATCTGTATCAAGAGAGGCTGTCATGGGGTGTGGGGGAGGGGCAGCAGGCGCGGGAGGTCAAGCTCCTGGCACATGCCCTGTCTGACTGCTTGGGCGACACCACTCCAAGCCAGAAGGTGCTAAGTAAAGATGAAAACAGGCTGAGTGCGATCCTGCTTCATCCAGGAAAAAGCAGCGTGCGCCTTCTTTAGATGCCACTTCAAACAGGGAGGAGCACAACCCACGAACACCCTGACTATTTGCTTTAATTTGATTCCTAAATTGGAAGAGCCTAATTTCCATTTCAAAGCATGGGGAATATTTCACAGGAGATCCTGTTTCCTGATTTCCATCACTCCTTCTGGAACGCAGAATCCTCAAGTTACAAGGACCCTTCAGAGTCATCCTAACCAACCGGGCTCCTCTCATCAGTGCAATCTAGCCCAAATCATTTCATAAGGGTGGATACGTGTTTCCCATTTCTAAGGATTCTTCAAGAGACACAACTATATGAAAGCCTGTTTTGATGTTAAATACCCATCTCTGCCAGCAAACCAAACCCTTCCATCTAACTTGCTCTAAACAACACCTCATCCTGTAAGCCTGTTTCTTCTTCTCTCTCTATCATGGGGATGATTTTCCTCATAAGTACTCACTTGGTTTCTGTACTTCTGATCATCCCTCTGGGTCCATTCTCCACTCTTCCCACATACTGTGTATCCCCGAGGCTGAGCTGTGTTGACAACACCAGCAGACTCCCTTGCCTTGTCGGTTCTAGTTGAGTTCAGCCAATGGGTAGTGACAGCAAGGGACTGGAGGAGAGTGAGCCAATATATTTATTCCCCTGGCCCTTTCCCTGTGGAGATGCCGTAGGCTGACTGCTTCCTTTGGTGGAAAGTCACAGGTCCTGTCCAGTGTTTTCTCATACAGATATCTTGTCCTACTTCTGATAACTGCTCCCTCCTTTACTGCTTCAGCCCTTGGGGTAGTGATGTGTCAGGCTGTCACAAGCCCTGGAATAATGCACTATTCCTTGCAGTTTTGCTATACTTACCTACACCTTTGTAAATAGTCCCTTTATAGTCTGGCTCAAACTCTCAACTTGCAAATGCCATCTGTTTCCTACTGGAGACATGACTACCATTTTATCCCCCTAATGTCCTTAATAGGAAAGTCCATAAGAACTCAATACTCTATTGGACCCATATCATGTTGACTCCAGACCACCCACCAACTCCAAATGTAGACACCCACACACAGATGCACCAATGCATACAATATGGTAGGCAGCATCTAAGATGGCCCCTAAAGATCCCCTGCTCCTGCTTGATATTCACACATTTGCGTCATCCTCTTTCTTAAAAGTGGGGTAGACTTACTGACTCACTTCTAAAGAATAAAATATGGCAGACATGACAGGATGTCACTTCCAAGATTAGGATATAAAAAGACTATCTTGGACTTTTTTTTTTTTTTTTTTTTTGCTCTGTTGCTTGCTTGCTCTGAGGGAAGCCAGTGCCTGTTGGGAGCTGCCCTATGGAGAGGCCCTCAGTACAGCAGGCCTGGAGTGCAACAGGAGGAACTAGATTCTACCAACAATACTGAGTGAGCTTGGAAGAAGATCTTCCCCCAACCAACTTGGTAAAAATCCCTGAGCCAGCTAAGTTATGCCCAAGTTACTGACCTATGGAAATAAATGTATCTTCTTTTAAGGACCTAATTTTGGAATAATTTGTTTCAACACAGCAATAGATAGCTAATTCACACATCATCAGTGTAAGTTTTCTAAGATGTGGAATCTAACCATGATCTTCCTTTATGTTTAATTTACATGTTAATTTTACTGGGCAAGGAAGTAAGGATTCCATTTATTTGACTCTGACTTATTTTCCTTTATTTTCCTAAGCTTCTATTTTCCCATTTCCCCTCAATCCACCTCGAGGGGCCGCCGTTCAATTTTGATGAAATTATCCCCATCCCTGGCTTCAGGACTTGCCCAAATTGCAATCTGAGTTATCCATTTTCCCCTTGCTGCAGTGTGTGGTTCATGGAGAGTTATAACGTCCCATCCTGAGCCAATCAATACACAGTATTCTCCCAGGTCCCATTTTCAGTTGGAAGCTGATACATTATCTAAATCTATTGTTGTTAATGCCAGCTTCAGTTGGCATTGCTGGCAACATGGAGTCTCATCTAACACAAATACCATCCTGCCTCATTTGTACTCAGTTCTCATGAAGATGAAGATAAAGTAGATGATACCAAACAGAACAGGGAAACCAAGTGAGCATTTCATGGTGTTAAGAAGAAAGGCTCTTAACTGAAACAGACTTGTCCAAGATAGAAGCTCATTTCTACCACTTACATATTGAACAACCTTGATGAATTCTTAGTCTCTGAGCCTCACTTCCCTCTTCTGTAATAGGATAATGATAATAGTATATATGTCATATATTCATTGTGAGGACTAAATATACTCCATGTAAAAAAAAAAAAAGCACCATGGTTGGCACACAGTATATGTTCAATAAGCGCTAGGTATTATCATTATGATCTTTGGAAGAAAGTTGATAAGTTATAGGTCTTGAAAATACTTTGTTTATATGGCTCTTCTTGGGTTATTTTCAATGTGACACTGCCTCTTACCTTGAAATTTCACCACCTACCCAGGACATTATTTGTACTGGATGCATTTCAAAGTTGAAAAGAAAATAAATCCAAATGAAATGTGCCATTAGAGCTCATTAGAGCTCATCTATCCTTCAGAATTTTCTATTGCTATAGGAAAAACTAGGCAGCAGCAGAAGAAAAGTAAGGGATCTTCAAATTTCAAAGTTGAAAAGAAAATAAATCCAAATGAAATGTGCCATTAGAGCTCATTAAAGCTCATCTATCCTTCAAAATTTTGTATTGCTATAGGGAAAACTAAGCAGCAGAAGAAGAAAACTAAGGGATCTTCCTTTGTTACTTGCTTTTGTCAATACATCTAATAGGAGGCAGGTTCTTAACCTCAACATCAGTGATGTTTTGATGACCTTTGATATGCTGGAAAGGTTGGGATATTTGGTCCTAGGAAAGAGACTGGCAGTTACTGACCTCAGTTACCCAGTATTCTTTATTTGGCAATGGATATTGGCAAGTTTCTCAGTTTTTACATAAAAAACTAATTTCTTGGGGCACCTGGGTGGCTCAGTCGTTAAGCGTCTGCCTTCGGCTCAGGTCACGATCCCTGGGTCCTGGGATCGAGCCCCACATCAGGCTCCCTGCTCGGCGGGAAGCCTGCTTCTCCCTCTCCCACTCCCCCTGCTTGTGTTCCCTCTCTCGCTGTGTCTCTCTCTGTCAAATAAATAAAAATAAAATCTTAAAAAAAAACTAATTTCTTTCACTATAAAATGGACATTAATTACTTGTGTTTGGAGAAGGATTATTAAATGCTCTAAGACCTCTATATTTCAGACCCATAATTCCTGAGTGGAGATGAAAGACTGATTGGTTTATACAAAATGCCTTTGTCAGCTTTTGTTTATCTCTGTGAGTCGTGTTAGATTTTGTGACTCTTTCTCATACGGTATAGCTTGCACCAGTTTCTGGCTCATTGCATTTGTTTCCTTAAGCAAATAATTTTTCCTTCCCAGCTGAAATGCTCTATTTGTTACCACCTCACACTACTCACCTATATTCCACAGAGTGAGTGAGGTTAAGATCTAGATCTCGAGTCTACCAAGGGCATCTAATTTCCAAGCAGGAAAGGAAAGCAACAAATGTAGAGGAACGAAACATGACAGTAGCAAGAGAAGGTGGGAACTCTGAATTTATTCAGATTGGTTTGCCTTCTCACAAGGGATCATGAAGAGAGCCCCAGAAGTAAAAAAAGATAAAGGAAAAAATATATAGAAAACATATTCATTCAGTAGTATGATAAGCTAAATATTTTGGAAATTCCACTAAATGTAAACTACCTATCAAATTAAAATTCCATAATACTTGAAACTGAAAATTCAACAAAATGGATAAAATAAAGTTATTTTCAGGCCAAGACTGAATTTACCATTCATAGGCACTCACTGAAAAATTAACTAAAAAAAAATCTATTTCAGGAGAAGAAAATGAAGACAGTGTATTATTAGTACAGGAATAGGTAAAAAGATTACTAAAACAAGGTAGAACTCCCAAACAAATCTATTTATACATAGTAAGTTGATATAAGACAGAGATAGTATTGCAGTAGGGAAAAAATATTTTCAATAAGAGTCCTGATGTTGGTACAAATTGGATCCCTACCTCATATCCTGCACAAACCAACTCCAGGTAGATTGAAGACTTTAGTGTGGAAAGCACAATTCTAAAACTCTTTGAACAAGTTATAGGAAAACATATTTAGGATACCAGGGTGAAAAAGAATACCTTTTTTTAAGATGCAAAAAACAAAAACCACAGGGGTTACCTGGGTGGCTCAGTCACTTAAGCATCTGCCTTTGGTTCAGGTCATGATCCCGCGGTCCTGGGATGGAGTGAAACCCCATGGCAGTGAGTCTGCTTCTCTCTCTGCCCCCTCCCCTGCTCATTCTCTCTCTCTCTCTCTCTCTCTCAAATAAATAAATAAAATATTTTTTTAAAATACAGGAAAAGAGTTAATTAATTAATATTTGAATTAATGATTAATATTTGACTAGATTAATATTTGAATAATGAACTTCTAGTCATCAAAAGAAACCAAAAAGAAAGTGAAAAGTCAGCTAACAAAAAGATAAGAAATATTTAGAGCATCAATAATCAATAAAAATTTGTGTACTAAATAAATAGTTCCTATAAAAGAATAAGAATAATACAAACAATCCTATAGAAAAAAAGATGAAGAATAATATATATAGATTGGTGGCTAAAGCAAGGCTGAAATAAAAGCACCTGAATGAGGATTCTCAACTGCAACCCAGGGAGGTAGATTTAGAAGGTTAAAATAATAAACCAAAATCAGTGAAATTGAATTTAGGATAAAATAATCAATGTATATTCTCATATACAGGTTTTAGTAAAAATTAATGATG